CCGCGCTGCCCTCGCCCTTTGGGGCTGGCGGGACTGGGCCTGCCCGTGGTCTCCCTCCTCGGCTGGCTCCGCTGGCGGCAAGGCTGAGGGGGAGAAGGGGGCGTGGGGCGGTGCCGGTCAGAGCCCTGGGCATGGAGGGACACAAGACCCCCCTGGAGAGGACTGAGAGCGGCCGCTCCCGGCCAAGTCCCGACGGACTCCCCCTGTTGCCAGGCACCGTGCTGGACCTGTCCACGGGTGTCAACTCGGCGGCCAGCAGCCCAGAGGCGCTCGCTCCAGGCTGGGTGGTTATCCCACCGGGCTCCGTGCTGCTCAAACCAGCCGTGGTGAACTGAACCCATCCCAGTGGACAGCTACCACTTGCAGCCCAGCCAGCGGCTCCCAGCTCTACCCCCACAACCCCTGACGAACGGAAACTCTTCTGCGAAATAGCAATAATACCCTCCTGCCCTGGGGCCCGGTTGGCTGTGTCCCCTGGGCAGACACAGCCCCCGACAAGCTGGGCAGCTAGGATGGTGCTATGTCACTGCTTGTGTCCCGGGGGAATGGGGCCTGCCGGCCAGGGAGAGCTCTGCTCCTGGGTGCTGAGGTCGCTCACCTCTGGCCCTCCCCACCCTGCCCTCCACTTATCCCTAGGTCCCACTGGTCCCCTACTCTGGTGCTTCCCTCATCCAGTGGCCAACTGGGCAAGTCACCCTCCCTCCCTGCCTTGCCTACCTGCCAGCCACATCCCAGCAGTCAGGGTGGCACCTGCCTTCCCTGCTAACGTGGGCTCCCTCCCGTCCCTTCAGTGGTGAGCTGTAAGGAGCCCCCAGATCAAGGCTCTACCCCACACTGCCTAGCCTCACCAGGCCCCTGCTCTGGGGGCTCCTGACCCCTTTCCCTCTGGTCCACCCTCCAGAGGGAAAGCAAGACAGACGCAGGCCCTGGCAAAGCCACAGGAAGAAGCCACCGTACCCCTATGACAAGGAGCCTCCCTGCTACTAGAGGGAGGCCCGCTCTGCCAGCTGCCCCACTGCTGGCCAGCTGAAGCAGCTAGCACACTGCCTGAGGGTCGGCCCCTTCTCTGGGTTGGCCGACACTCAAAGTAATGGGCTAGCTGACCACTTATTTGCCGCTTCTCTGCTGGGCCTCCTCCCTCTGCTTTTGGGGAGCCCTGGGAGTGTGGGGAGTGGAGCCTTGAGCGGCAAGAGGTGGTGCCTGGACCCAGGGCCCGCCCAGCTCAGGGAACAGGTGGGGCTGGGCCTAGCCTGGGGCAGTGCCATCCTGCACAAGTGGCTACAGGGCGTCAGGACGGGAGGCTGGCTGGGGACCACCCCAGGCTGGGATATGGCTCCTGTTCTAGGGGTGCCAAGTCACAACCAGCTCCAGGCTGGTGCTGGGCAGGGGAGCTTTCTGGAGGCCATGGACTGAAGCCTGGAGCAGGGGAGAGCAGCCAAGGATGGTCACAGGAAGACCTAGCCCCTCCGCCTGGGAAGGGGAAGTCAGAGGCAAGAGCCTGGACTTGCAACGTGGCTTTTCTGACTGAGACTGTCCTAGGTGTCTCTCCTTTGCTCCCACCCTGCCTGCTCCCCCAGTGCAGGGGGCCAGAATGAGCTAAGGATGCTGGTGTTCCTGACCCACAGTCCATCCACTGTCCAGTCCCAGGGAGCTGGGCTCTCCCAGAGGCCCTGGAGAGGCAGTATGTACCCCAACCCTGAGCCCTTGCTGCTCCCTCCCCGGAGGTGGCCTGGTGCGTCCTGGGAGGTGTGGGCCTGGCCGTAGGGAGCTCTGGCTCGTAGGCCTGCCCTGTGCTTGGCTGCAGTAACCAAGCCCTCTGTTTCCCCATCTGCAGAACAAGGGAGCTGCCAGACAGCAGTGGGGTCCCTGGCAGCCTTGCGGTTCCAGGGTCCCCTCCATTCCTCTGAGCAGCTCTGCTGACCCTACCCTTTCCTGGACCGCCCTTCTGTCCCAGAGGGGTCACCCTGACCCGGCCCACTGTCAGGGCCTGGCAGTGCTGGCTCTGCCCTTCGAAGGGGCTGTGAAAAAAGCTGGAGGGAGCTGGTCTCCTTCCTTCACACCCCACCCAGGACCCAGGCACCCCCACCCCAACTAAGGGCCTCAGGCCTTAAGTCCCCGTTGGGGTGAGGGGTTTGAGACTCGAGCCCAGGGAGCAGAGGAACAGGGCACTGGAAAGTGACATTAGCTCAGCATGTGACTCGGTGATAGACCAGGCTCAAAGGGGCCGGTGTATGTGTTGTTGTCAGTTTGTTGTTGCACATTCCAGGATATCAGTATTTTAACAGGTTCTAAGTGCCTTTCTATCGTAGCTTATGTTTTTCCTCCTCTTGGCTCCATTGCTGTTAGCATAGAGTTTAAAAAAAAAGAGAGATAAGCTAATGACTATAACAATATATTCCTCCATGTGAGAGGAAGTTTATAAAGAAACAATAAAAGTGAGTTACAAACATGGTTTGTCTTGGATGTGCAGGAGCTGGGTGACAAGACAGGAGACCACCTCTCACAGCCCCGTGCCTGGCTCTGGGGTCACCCACCCAGAGTGCAACACTGAGGCCCTGTTCTGAGGTTTCCTCCTGACCCCAGGGGCGCCACAACATGTCTGCTGCTGGGAGCTGGAAGGGAAGGGCAGGAGCGGGGTGGGTGCTGAGACAGAACACATTGTGGGTTCAGGCCCTTACCCGCCACTCCCTACTGTGACTTTGGTGAGGAGCTTAGCTCTGGGGGAGGCCAGCTCCCTGGCCTCAATGCAGAGAGGCTGGTGAAGGCTTCTCTTCCTCAGCCACACCCAGGGGTTCTCCCCCGAGATTACTGAGATGGTAGTGCCAAACCCAGCTCAGGGAAAGACAGCCTGTTCCAGAGCTTGGGGCCGGGGGCTCCATTCACCAGCTGGACGGGCAGGGGCAGACCTGAGGACGGTGATGCTGAGGGAGGGCCTGGCCCTGGCGCTGTGACAGCAGGAGTGACTGCGTCTGTATGTGACAGAATGCAGCCAGCTCTCCTCAGATCAGCAGGAACAGGCTGGCCAGCTTTTCACCAACTTCGCCCACCCTGGCTTCGCTGGGTGTCAAAGGTTCAATAACAGGGAGGTGGACATCACTGCCTCCCCCTCCCCTGCACACACAGCCCCACAACTGAATGGAAGAGCAGCCTGCCTTCTGGAATCTGGATGTGTGCACTCAAGAAATGCGGAAAAGACATTTATTATCGAGCTATAAATTAGAGGCAGTGGCGGGGTGGGTGGGAGAAGCCGAGTGGTCACGTTTTGGGCGGCTGCTCTTTCTCTCTGTCCTCCTGGGCCTGGATCCTGAGTTCCTCATCAAGGCGCTCCTTCGCTCGGACCACCTGGGGAGGGAGTCACAAGTAAGTTAGGGAGGGTGGCCCCTTCCCTTCCCAGGTCCAGCTCCGGCTGGGAGTCCCTGGAGAGTAGTGGGCAGGTCAGAGGTAACAGCTTGAGTGGAATATAAACAGAGAGGGGGTTCTAGGGGCCTCCTCTCCAGGGAGACAGCACCCAGGGCATAGTGACACCAGGGAGCTGAGCTGGTTCTAGCACCCCACCAGCTAGTGGTCCTGTTCCTTCAAAGCCACGGCTGCTGGGAGGACCACAGTCCAGGATGACACAGGGCTCTGGCCAACAAAGCCCTGTGGAGCAGGCAGCCTGAGGGACTAGCAGTTTAGGGGGGCCTCCCTGAGCCTGGAACACCTCTCTCCCTGCCAAGCTCTGAACTGCCTAGAAATGAGGGTCCCCAACCATGAGAAGAGGCCCTTCTCCCAGCACTCACCTTTGACTGTAGGTAGAAGGAGCCACCCACGGATTTATCGTTCACCTTGAACAGGTGTTCGTAGTTCTGCAGAGGAGGGGAGACGGTGAGAGGGTGTGCAGTCTCTGGGTTACAGAGGCAGGGGAAGCTAGGAGATGAGAAAGGAGGAAAGCAAAAGGGCTCAACCTCCCTGCCCCGCTACAACACAGGAAGCTGCTGCGATGGCTAAGGACAGAGAAGGGGACAGGTGCCCACTGAGGGAGGGGCTCCCCATCTCTGCCACTGCTGCCTTGGGCTTAAACACCAAGTGACAGTGGCTCCGCAAGTTCAAGTCCCAGCTGGCTGCAGCAGAGCCTGCACTGCTGGCCCTTCAGACAGCCTCCTCCCCTCCTCCCCACCCCTCTCTCTGTTCTCCCTGTCTCAGAGCTGGCCTGGAGGTCTCACCTTCTGGATCTCCTCAGGGCTCAGCTTGGAGACGTTGAGAATCTGCTGTGCTTCCTGGAGGCTGAGGCCCGAGAGGTTGGAGGCAGCTGCAGACTGGTGTCCGGCGCGGCCTCGGGCATCAGCTGCTGCCCGGCTGGCTATGGGGACATATGGGTGAGCACTCAGCCCTCAGTAGCCTGGAGCTCCCCCGGGCCTTTCAAGGGGGCATCTCCTCTCCAGGAGTGGACTGTTAGGGTACGAGGTTGGGGGTGGTGAAGTGAGGACAGATTTTCCGCCTCCTGGAGGGCAGGGGCAGGGTCTGGTCACACCCAGCATCAGACCACAGGATGATCCTGCCCTCGTCTCTCCTGTGCCCCCTCATCCTGGGCGTATAGTAAGTTGGGGAGCAGAGTGACATCATGGGAGGGGTGGCATAGCTGTTGAGCCCCAGCTGCCCTACGGTTGCCTAAGCCACCAGGGAGGCTGCCTCAGATGACCTCTTCCCTTTCAACAATCTTAGATTCAGGAGCCAGTACACTTTTCTTAAAGGGTCAAAGAATAAATCAGTATTTTAGCTTTGCTGGCCAATTAGTCTGTGTTGCAATTACTGAACTCTGCCTTGAAAGCAGCTGGAGGGTGTGTCTGTGTTCCAATAAAACTTTATTTACAAGAACAGGTGACCAGTGTGCCGACTCCTGGCTAAATGCTCCACCAGGTCTCCCTTTCATGGGAAGGTCCCAAAGTCCAGTACTGCCCCCAATAGGAAGTGCCCCAGGCCCCGCAAGCTGCCTGAACCCCACCCTAGAGGGTCCCTGCATTCACAGCCGGCCCAGTATAAAGGGCCTATAGCTACGGGGAAAATCTGACCCAGGCAGGAGCTCCCAGCCCAAGGAATCAGGGTCCACACTTACCTGCAAACTCCTGCCGCAGGGCCCGAGCGAAGGCCCTGCCCACCACCTGCATGCCCATCACAATGATCTGGGCCAGGTACTTGGCCTGTGGGCAGAGCAGGCACCTGTTAGCAGGCCGCATTCTCAGGGCCCCCAGAGATGGACCCTGGACATGGTGGCTGAGTGGCCAGGCTTCTGAAGAGCTGAGGGAAGGAAACTCAGACCATAGGCCACTTTCTCCAAAGCACTCCGATAAGCTGCTGCTCTGGGTGGCTCACAGGACAGCAGGCTAGGGGTAAACCTGAGAGTCCCAGGAAGCAGATGGGACTCTCCCTCGGCCTTCAGAAGAGGTGGACAGGAGCCAAGGCAAAGTGGCCCGGGAGCCAGAACTTGGGGCTGGCCCCAGACTCACCACTCACCTTGCCACTGCAGGCCAATGCCTGTGCGTCGGAGCTTGGCTGGTCTGGCCTTCACTTTACTGGTGGAGAAAGGCAGTGCCATTCTAACACTCCCAACACTATTCAAATCCATTCTATTCAACACAACAAGAGTAAAACAACCACCGTCTTCAAGGAGCAAAGCCCACTAGGCAGGCATTTAGACAAACTCGGCAGGGACCAAGTGATGAGGGAGACCAGGTCCCTCCCCTGTTACCAGCTCACTCCTTCACTCAGAGGCTTCCTGAGAGTTGGCACTGGGACCACGAAGATACACAGGACCCAGCTCTGTGGGAAGTCCTCCACCACAGCACAGCACAGGGTCTTCTACCCCAAGACTACATGACCCAATGCACCAGGGAGGAAAGTGGGGCATCTCATCAGGTGTGACCAGAGGCGCGGAAAGGCAACAGAGGGACACCCCAGGAACAAGATGGAGACTCTGGGAGGCAACAGCACTTCTCCTGGGCAGGTGGAATTATGACGGGAATACAGGCACTTCCTAGGCAGAGGGACAAGGGTGAGTCCAAACTGGGGGAGAGTGTAAGGGATGCCTGGGAGCAGCCAGGAGCCCAGGGACTTGTAAATAGTAAGAGGTAAGACGAGGGAGGCGGCTGACATGGGAGACATACAGATCTTACAGCGATCAAAGATTACAAGTATTACAAACAGACAGCACGTGTGTGTGAAATGTGCGCAGAAAGGACACTGGGAGAGCGCTCACTGCAGGTCACCACTGCTCACGTGGCACATCTAGGTGGTTTCCCTTCTTCTTCATACTCTTTTATAGTTAAGATTTCCTATCCGTCAACAAGTACTGATTTAGCCAAGGTACCAAGTGCTGTGCCAAACATACTCTATTCATTGTGCACTTTAATCCCAACAACTCGACACTGAAACACAGAGGAGTTTAGTGACCAACCTGAGGACACACAGCTAGAACCTGGGAGAAGGTGGGCAGAAAACCCACAGCCAGTGCTATCAGCCATGGCACCCCCAGGCTGCCCGCCTCACACAGGATCCCAGGGTCTGCAGGGAGGGCGACTGAACATGACAAGGATCAGAACCCAATCCTGAGGCTGAAGAGGGACTCATCAGATTCCAGTGGAATCCAGACTCCAGACCTGGCCTTTCTGGCCTCTCTAATGGGCAGGGCAGGATGTGGTTCTGTGCCATTAGTGGGAATTAATACATGGGAAGTGGGCTTAGATTTCATAAGCCTTGTATTTCACAACAGAAAGCAAAGCTGCTTTCTGTGAAGACTCTCCAGAGATCAGAGGGAGGGGCGGGGCCGCAGCCAGGTGGGCTGTGGTGTAGACAAATGAGGATCCTTTGCACATTGGAAGTCTCACCTGGCTTCTTCCCCCAAACCCCCTCCTTGCCTAAAGCCTCTCCCAAGTGGGACAGGAGGCTCTGAGATGGACAGCTGGTCCTCCTGAGGGACAGACAGTCTGACTGGCCAGCAGGTGACTCCAAGGGTTCCCTCGTTCTGGACCTCCTGTCAGGCCTCAGAGCACCTCCTTCTGCTGCAACACCTGTGCGGAGCCCCATCGTCACACAATGCCTTGTACTCAGGCGTGACTGTTGCTACATAATGAACACCAGGAGCAGAAGCTGTCATTGGACAGCTCCCTCAACACCCCCTGCACAACAGCCTGTGGTTCCTGCTGCCAGAGCTCCATGGCTGCGGGGCAGGCTAGGCTATCCTGCAACGCTTCAGAGACTACCCCAGCCATCCAAGGGAGCTGTCTGTTGGCCCACTGCAGCCACCAAGGGTCCCTGGAAGGCATCTCTTGGGGGAGGCAGTGATGTAGTGGGTACACAGGCAAACTTTGAGATCATCCGTGTGCAAATCCTAGCTGTGCGCCCTGGACAAGCTCTCAGTTTCCCCGAGCCTCAGTTTCCTCTCCTGTAAAATGGGCCCAACAATAGGGCTGCCACAGGTATTAAATGAGATAATGCTTTTAAAGTGTCAGACACAGAGCATGATGAAACAATAGGTGCTTAATAAATGTTGGTTTTCATTTACAACTGCTCTGTTTTTCACAAAGCCGGCAATGGCCAGGCATCATGGAGGAACAAAGCTGCTCCCAACACAGCTGCTCATTTGATAGGTCCTCTGACTCCTCAGGGGAGAGGCTGAGGAATCACAACACTGGGCTACATTCCCAAGGAGCTAGATAGAGGCCGTGTGGGCGAGGAGTGAGAAGGCTGCTTTAGTCAGGCTGATATAACCTGGATCCTAGCTTCGCTTCTTGCCAGCTGTGTGGCCCTGGGCAGATCACTCAACTTCTCTGATCTTCAGTTTTCTTCAGAATAATACCCTCCTCACAGGAGGGCTGCGAGGACTCAGAAGGCAAGGCAAATTAAACTAAGTGGACAGACTGATAGTGGCAGGTCCAGAGCAGCTCAACAGCTGCTCTGCTTCCAGACCAGATCCTGCCTGGTGCTGAATGGTGTGGAGATCAGAGGCGCAGCCAAGTCTCTCACCCACCTACTCAACACCCAGATGCCTGCTGAGTGCCAGCTGTGGGTCTGCTGTGCTCAGAGCTGATGATTCAGAGGGGCACAGTTCTGCCAGCTGCAGCTACCACAGGAGATGAAGACAGCCACCAGCTGAGGCCTCTCCCAGAAAGCCCTAAAACACCCCACAGCCCACTGACTGACACTTGGGCTTGAAGACCCTTGGCAAGAGCAACTGGCTGACAGGGCATCCAATTCAGGCCAAGCGGATGGTCAAGGAGCAGAGGTCAGAGCCACAGGACTTGGACACTGAGGACGGCACATGCTTTCCTGTCTGGGGAGCAGTGTGGCCCAAAGCAGGACCAAAGCCCTGCAGCTGGGGCAAAGGACCACAGGCAGTGGGGGTGAGGGGAGGTTGGGAAGCACTCAGGAATGCAGTTTATCCCACATCAAGTGCATCAGGAAGGGAGCCTGGCTTTGGACAGACAGATGTGCAACGTTCCCTTCGAGGCACAGTTCCTTGAGCTCAGAGTCATGGCCACTGACTCAACCCCTTCTCAAGGACGCATGGAGACAGAAAGGGGGCTCTTTCCACCCAGGGCCCCTGAAAACAGCTGCTGGCATCATAACTAGGCAGAAGGGAGGTTAGGACCACAACTGTCACATGTGCCATGATATACCCAGGGACCAGTGGCTAGCACAGCAGGTGCCCAATACACGTTTGAATGAAGGGGACAAGGTCTGACGAGGTTTCCAAGTGCCTCCCACTCCCTCTGCTGAAGGAGGGCTCTGGCCATCCCCCACAACACACACAATTCTCCACCAATGCCACAGCCACCACCAGTGAAGTCCGCGCTCCCCCCAGCTCATCATCGCAAGCTGTCTGGCTACAAATGACTTCAGCTTCCTCTCCCCTCACCACTCTTCACAAGTCATGCAGCCACACCATCAACTCCCAGATCAGCACTCCTTCTTTACCCCAAAGTCCTGTAGTTCTGAATTCATACACCATACAGGTCACTTTTCTCAGGTGAACAATCCAGTGCTTTAGAATATTCACAGAGCTGTGTAATGACTATCAGTAATTCCAGAACATTTTCATTATCCTTCCAAAAAACTCCATACCCACTAACCCTGACCCTTGTCCTTCCTACTCTGATACTCGGTCAAAGACCAACATCCTTCAAGACTTAGCTCATGTCACCCCCTTCCCGAGTGAAATCTTCCCAGGCTCCTCCCACTTTTACCCTCCCATAGCACTCTTTCTTGTCCTATTAATACACTGTCACACTGTCCTATTTTAAAGACTAGTCTTTCTCCTTAAAGGTACAAACTCCTCCAGAGCCACATTTTACTCAGCCCTCAGGGGTGACTCTGCGTTACACAACGTGTGAATGTGTGTGAAAGACCCACATCAGGGAGGGTCCTGAGAAAATGGCAGCGACTATTTCAAGGCAGGAACAATGTGGTGCTAAGTAAGTAGTCTCAGGACACAGAAGGAGCTGGGCTCAAAATGGGATGAGCGACCCTGGAGGAGTCAGATGCTCTGAGCTTCGGGTTGCTTATCTGTAAAATGGGGACAATGAAAGCACTGACATCATCAGAATTAAACAGGAATCTACAAAAGCCTCAGCTCAGGGCCTGGCATTTTGTAAGTTCTCACCTCATCACTATCAGTTAAGAAGTGGCTGCCCAAACCAGCTGTCCCAAATCACTTGGGGAACTTACACAAAGAGAGAGAACCTCCAGCCATAGAGCTCAGGACCCTGCACTTTTAAAGGTCCCCAGGTGACCTGACCCAGCCAGTGTGGCCCAGATCTGTGGGCTGGCTCTGGGCACCAATGGTACCCCAGGAACGCTCAGTTTTCGGTGTCGCGGGGCCTGGTTCAAGTCCCAGTTCTGCCACTTTCCTGTGAAAGTCCCGGAGCCCGTTTCACCAGCTTTTAAATGGGGACAGTAATGGGTGACACCATAAATCACCAAATGGTCTGGGACAGAGCAGGGGCTCGCGGGCCGGACTAGCCTCCACCTTGGGCTGCTCGCACGTGTCTGGAGCACACGGCCACATCACCTGCTGCGCATTTTCCGGCCTGCCAGGCCCGCCCTGCCTTCCAGCCAGATAGCTCTCCCTGACCCCGCGGCCGCCAGCGCCCGCCTCGGTCCCCATTTCCCGCCAGGCGAGCAGAGGGCGCACAGCTCCCGCAGCCTGGCCGGAACTCCTCGCCCCCGTCCCGAAACGGCCCCCGTCCCCTCCCTCACTCGGGCCTCACCATGGCGGCCGTTCTGCCTCT